TATATATATATATATATATATATATATATATATATATATACAAAGTATTATTCAACGATAAGTTCCGAGATAAGCTTCCGACGAGGGGTCAGGACTTATATTTAATTCACGTCCTATACCGTCGTTCCGTAGAAAAATAAAGTATAATTTTATTTAAAAAGACCTCTTTACATACAAAGAACTTTTATCGGGAAAAGAATATGATATGAAAAAATTAATGAGAGAGTACTAAGTAAAAAGTATAGAAGGAAAAATGAATAAAAAGATGCTATGAATAAGAAGGTGCTATATATGCAAGAGATGTGCGGGGAAAGGAGAGGAAGGCGGAAGAAGAGAAAGAGAGAGAGGCGTTTCTAGAAAAATATATATCTACATTGTTCCTATCGTAAATTCCTATCCTACTTACTATTCCAGCAGGGGATCTTGAACCCACTACTCACCGAACTGGCATATCGATTCCTATGGGATTCATCTCTCAGCCGAATTTGTTCGTAAGTGCACGCGAGAGATCGCAGTACTGACCGAAATTTATTATCCCAAATACTCTAAAAAAATAAAATATCGAAATAATCTTGGGCCATGTAAAATGCACAAGACTTTTTTATTGCGCGAAACGAGCGAGCGTAAAACAGGTCTCGATGCATTATTCCATATTAAAATATTTTAATGCCAAGTAATTTTGAACCTTAACTACTTTCCCATCACTTCTAAAATAGCCAGCTTTCCGTTACACCCGGCCTGAGCTACGTGTTCTAATCGCTTTACTTCACGCGACTAGTTCGACAGAGTAATTGTAATTCTAATAAGTTACGCCTTAATCATCTCGTTATTCGACACGTGTCACTTCTACAGTTAAGGTGCCTCGACTCATAGAGAATAGATTCGATATTCCATTTTCCTCCATTATGCAGCTGTGTTGCTGCACGACATATTGCAGTCACGTTTTACAATTTCAGTTAGAAGTAATTTAACTGCACGACAAGAATCCGAGAGAGATATGAGAAATGTGTTTGAGTGTATATAAATCAAGAGTATAGAGCGCTCCTAAGGAGTTCACCGTATGACCATTGTGCATACGGTCGTCGGATGTATTTCACATTTTGCGAAACGAGTTTTACGCAATAAAAAAGAAGAATCGGACGGGATATTATCGTACCGCGCACGTATAGCCAGCATGTATTTTCCTTGCCAGATTTCGCCAGATGGATCCTTCTCGTAGTAGGGAAATTGCTGTTCGCTCTAAGGGAGCGCTTATTTCGCTGATCTATCTTCCACGCACAAACCGTTGCGGCGGTATAAGCAGCTGCTTAAAAGCGTCTCGTAGTTTTTCATAAATTTAAATTCCGCAAACGGGATTCTAATCGAATCAAAAGCGTTCGCGAGATAGGAGTAACGCCATTCTCCCCCGTGCCCCCACGTGCACAGATATATTTCCCTTTCCGCGCCACCAGCGCGCGATATCAATGAATTTCATCTTGCCTGTATAGCTTTTCTAACTTTTCACTAATTATAACAAAAATATACTCGCGTAATATTAAAGTGGCTGGCTTCAAAACGCGACTCCGGCGTGCTGTACGCCGCCCACCCAGCGTGTGGCGAAACGCGATATTAATTTACATATTTGCGCAGGTATATATATTATTCTTCCAGTTACGCCGTTAAAGTTTCACCGCAAAACTGGAAGATAATAATTTATATTACAAGTTACATTCAATTCATCGTGTATTCGATACGGGAGCGGGAGCTTGTCTTTATAATTTTCGGCGCGTACGTAATTGAACTTTCGCGCCGCAAAGTTCGAAATTATATTGATCCCCCCCGAGGCTTCGTTTCTTCGAAAGACCTCGTAATAAAGTTACGTGTTACAAGTACCTCGGCTGAACCAGGTCACTTAATCATCTTCGCGAAATACGTATATATGTATAATATTTTATTACGATTATATATACATACAACGGAACGTAAAGGTATAAAGTGCTAACAATGCTACAATGTTAGAAATTAAATTTAAACAAGGATGAACAAAAGAGTTGAGAACTTCTATAATTCAGCTTGTGTACCGAGAAACTGCCGGCGTACGCAGCTTTTCCCTTATATTAACGACATTGCTTTTAAGCGTCTTAAGCAAACCGGATACCGTCAGTGTCTTGAGAACTGAAGCGTATCGTAACACGGATGATTTCACAAAATGAGGACATTCGGGGAGAAAAGCGAGGGAGAGAGAGAGAGAGAGAGAGAGAGAGAGAGAGAGAG